ACTCCTCTATATATATATATATATATATATATATATATATATATATATATATATATATATATAGCGAGTGATTGTTTTGGAAATGTTTTGGTTGGGATGTACATGGCAAAAGAAACATCAACACTTGAATGATGACATGTGTAGATAATACATAATTTGGGAAGGAACATAGAAGCGTCTCAGTACTTTGAACAAAAAAAAGGATGAAAATGATGTCAAAACCATAATGAAGAAGAATCCAAGACTACAAAGGTGCATACAATGAAACTAGGATCTTGAATGCAAGCAACACTAGTTATTTTAAAACTTAGAAAATGAAGAACAGCTCCATGCATTATTGCCAAAAGATAACAACATAGCAATCTTCTGACAATGAGAAAGAGTTGAAGGCAATGATGCATATTAATTAAGCAGATGGAGGGAGCATCAATTAGTTACGAGCTTCTCTCAAGCATATCTTGATACCTTTTAAAAGACTCGAGTTTCTGGAGTCTCATTCGTTTATGGAACTTCATTATGAAGAGGTCTGCCACGTGATCAATCTCGTCTTCCAGACTAAAATCTTCACCATCATGTTCCATGGAGTTCTTCACCATATCAATCGCAGAAGCACTGGGATTGGCCAAGTCAAGGTCATCCTCTTGGTCAAAGAGAGAGTGCCTCAGATCTGGATACTTCTTGTCATCATCATCATCATCTTCACAACTGTTTGCCTCGTGGAAAACTATTTGGAGATTATCAACATTGATTGCCTCGTTAACGATGTCTTCAGGTGAGGCTGTTCCTCCAAGTAGTAATGCATGAATCCTATGAGAGATTGAACGTGCCTTCAATGTAAGAGGAAGCTTCTTGTTCTTCAACAACGAGAAAATTATGACTCTAGCTTTCATGGCCTCCACTTTGCTTTTTATGGCCAACGATTTGGATTTTGTAATTGAGCTCAACAGGGATATTATGTTCTTCAAGAAAACAGGCGTCCCCTTCTTCATTCTCTTCCAGTTTGATTTGTGTATATATATATATATATATATATATGTATATAAATATATATATATATATATATATAATATTAAGCAAGGATTCAGAGACTTGAGTGAAAAGAGCGCACTGCCTTGAAGAATTGAATGATGCAAAAAGATGTGTAGAAGATGAATTGACAAAATAGAGCTCTAATATGGGTTTCATATTTATATAACATATATATATATATATATGTGTGTGTGTGTGAGATCGAAAGAGATATTGAACAACAAAAGGTGAATGCAAGTTCTGGGAATCTGGGTCCATTGCATCTAGCTAGCTTACAGTATGCACACATTAATAAAAGTGAAAGTGGAGTGGAAAAGTTTATATAGCTACATCATCGTTGGCATGTTATTATATGTTTTAGTGATCAAAGCTGCCTGCATGCATTGTTACAAATATGTAGAGAAACCGAATCAAAAGCAAACCCTGCACGCTAAGTAATCAAGACAGCTCCGATAAATATCACTTTTGCCCCCACCCAGATATTATATATATATATATATATATATATAGAGAGAGAGAGAGAGAGAGGAAGGACGTTTTAAATGTAACACATCATATTTGTACAACCAATGCAACCCAATCAATTGAGATATTTATGAAAATGATGAGAGTTTATTTATTATGATTTGAATATTTATGGAAGATGACTAGGGTTCATTAATTATGATCAATACTTTATATTATGAAACAATATAAACATTTATAAAATCACATATTTATCAAATTAAATGGACGGTTGAGATTGAGTTGTATTGGTTGTACAAATGTAAAGTGTTACGCTAACTCATCTCTCTCTCTCTCTCTCTCTCTCTATATATATATATATATAAACACTAATTTAATCAATAATACAACTAAAAATAAATGTTGTTACAGTGATTCTTCACGTTTTTGTTTTTTGATTTAACGTGACTTAAATGCCGAAAGTTGGAAAAACCTGTTCTCAATAATTTCTTAAAAAGGCTTTTTGATTAATTAAACCAATGTACAACATATATTTTTTTTTTCTATTGAGAATATCATGTCATCAACTCTTTTATTTTTCCTTAATATATGACATGCATTCATATAAAACACTTTACAGTAGAAAATTGTTTTTCTTTAAATGTCATTTTATTTAGGTTCCATTTTTAAACTATTTTGACAAAGATCTAATAAATTTTTTGAAACAAAACAAATTATATATTGATTTTAAATACTTTCATCTCATGTTTACTTTAATTATGTTTAATGTTGATGTATATTTGTGTTATCATGTGTAAATGCAAATGTAGATTTAGCGCATGCATTGTTAAAATCCACATTTACATGCATCTCGTCTTTTTATCAACAATGGACTCAAGATTTTTAATGAATAAATACCCATTTAAGATAGATCAAAGACCCCTAAAATCACTATTTGATTATGTAGAAAAGTAAAGGCATTTTGACCGGGAGAAAAGTCAATTATGTCAATTTGACAATAAAATCCATTTTCCCAAATTGAATCCACCTGCCTAATTCTAATATTTGTGTCACGTGTCATTGGATTGATGCAAAAATATTGATGATGATGAAACAAGCAACTGTGTTTAAACTGCTTGGTCACCCACGCTTGGGAAGAGAATTATTTAAAATGATAGAACATGTTATTGACTCTTACAATTTGTCACAAGCTTATAAATATTTCTTTCAATTTAGAAAGATTAAAAGCTACCATAATCACCTATTTGTGATTGGTGATTTTTGTGCACATTTTGTAGCTTTAATGGCCATGCAAGTGGAAGTTTAAGCGGTGGTGAACCAATTTAATCAAAATTTAGAGCTATGTTAGAATTAGTTCAATCCTCAAAATTAACCGAAACAACAACAATAGTATATTAGTCATCTTGGAGAGTGAAATATGCCTATTAGGCCAAAGATCATAACATTAGTAATGAAGATTGTGAATAAATTATCCAGCCTTGTTCTTTTATCTTCTATGAACTAGCTTTTCTTTTCCAAAACTACAGTTGCAAACTGCTATATATATATATATATATATATATATTAAAATTAATAACAATAATATGGGTTGGGTGGGTGGGTGTCCAGCGGTTGATTTTGGCAGCATAAATCATGTAGGAACCTGTGAGACCTGCAGTTTAGCGACCCAACCAGGTAAAACTGTTTCCACAGCCACTAGTAAATAAATACCAACACTAGTAATGTATTGCAAGTCCATGTACCTTCTTAAGCTTTTGAAGATAAATCAAATAAACTTCCTTGCAAAGACCTTCGATATCGATTGCATACTCCCTATGATTTTCCTCCAGGATGAACTGCTGTAATTGCTGTCTCATCCTCTCCAGCGCTCCATTCAATCCACAGAATCCATCAACGACAAGATGTTCACTTGACTTGAGCATCAAAACATTCTTAATAGCAAAAAGTACCTGTAAAAAAGGACCAGCAACGCAGTTTGTTAGTCCATTAGATAACTTTTAAAACACACATAGCCAAGCAAAGAAAAACATAACATCTATACTACAAAAATACAGCAGATCATTGCTTTTAATATGACACTTTCTGAGTATACTTAAATGCTATACAACCACACAAAAACAATAGCCACATTACATATCTATAGACAACCTTTTCCAGGAGATCCAGGTCATCTAATGTTGTTAAATCGATCACTGGCCTCAGCAACGCACAATTGCTGAAAAAAGGAAGCTCCAGTTTGCTTCTATATTCTAATTGATATTCAGCCAGATCAGCAACAAGTGACACTGATCTCCTATGTAATCTAACATCAGCAGTGGTGTTGCTCAAAATGCCCTACAAAACAAGTTTTAAACCAATTGGTAAATAAGGCAATACTTCCAACATTTTACTTTGTCAATCTCGACCTGCATTACCTGGATCATTATATCTCCACCTCCTGAGTAGAACAATTTGAGGCCATTTGGATTGTTTCTTATAATTGCTGAAACTGCATATAGTGCTTTTATGGCTTCCTCTATGAAACTAGATTTCACCATCATCATTAGCTTTGGCAATGCTCCAAGGTCAAGGACCTAAAATTCACAACCATTTGTGCATCAATTCAGTTACAGATAAAACCCAAGTACAATTTCTAGCAAGTACTTATGTAAAGGACACATGCTGACAAATAAACGGCCTTTAAACTCATGAGGGTACGAAATGAGCATCTGTACCTGCTTCTGAACCACAGGATTGTTTTGACTCGCTTTACCAACAATCCATGCACAAGTCTTCCTTATCTCCGGATCTGAGTTACTAAGTTCTCCAACAACCAAAGAAAGACCTCCAATTTTGTGCAAATCTGAAAGAACAATTACATCACTCATGCAATCTAAACTCTTAACAAGTATATATTACAGGGGTTTGATTCATGAATGAGAAACAGTGTTGAATCTTGAAAATAGTTAAAATTACACAAACTCAAAAATGGTTTGCGCTTGCAAAGTTTTTTTGGTGTGCATTTACAAGAAAAGAATATTTCTAAGATTTATATATACAGTTTACACTTCCGAAAAAAAAAGGTTTATACTCCCCAAAATAATATATGATAAAATAGAACATATTTGTCTTGCTTGTAGCATCTCCAAGAGTACTAGATTGCCTGTTGCATAGTACAATACCATTATGAATAATTCATTCTGATGTTTGGGGTTGTCTCCTACGGTGTCTCAATGTGGATTTTGTTATTTCATCACCTTTATTGCTGCCTTCAGCCGATTTACATGAATTTATCCTCTTACTCATCACTCTCAAGCAATTGGACTCACTAAGTCTCATTCTGAGAAATACCATGGTAAATACAAGAAGTTAGCTTTGACTCGTCTATGTTTTGCGGATGATCTTATGCTTTTTTGTAATGGAGAAGTGAGATCGGCGGAGATCGTGAAGGAAGCCTTGAAAGAATTTAATATGGGCAAGCACTTCATATTTGGGAAATATTAACGGTCAATGTAGAGATGAAATCATGAGAAGTATTCTGTTTAAATTGGGAGAATTACCCTGTTAAGTACTTCCAGGTCCCTTTATTGGCTACCAAATTATACCACAAAGATTGTCAAAGTCTAATTGATAAGATGAAAAAGAGGGTTATGAACTGGAAAAACAAGAGTTTGTCTTTTGCTGGTAGGCCGGCTTTTGCAATCGGTAGTCTCATCTGTTCAAGTTCATTGATCATTCCTTTTCTTGATCCCCATCTCGGTTATAAAATAGATTGAAAGCATTAGGAAAGAATTTTTGTGAAATTGTGGAGAACTTCAAAAAGGAAAAGGTGTGGCATGGAAGGAAGTTTGCTTTGATAAGATGCAAGGAGGTTTGGGTATGAGATCGTTAAGGGATTGGAATTTTGCTCTTCTTGCTAAGCAAGTGCGGAGCATCATTGAAGGCAGGAAATCTTCGAGTTAAATGGGTGCACACTTGCAGGTTAAAAGAAGAAATTTTTGGGATGTGCATGAGGTGCATGAAGAACTCGAACGCTCAAAAAATCCGTCGGGCAGGCAGATCTCCAACATAATGACTCTGAGGTAACTTGCCCTTTTGGGGACTTGAATATTGCCGTCAGATATATCATGGCGAATTCTTCAGGAAAAAATTTGTCTTCCACAAAGGAATCTGATAAGAGAGGTTTCGGAAAAATATTGTTCATCGGGTAGAAGATGGTGCTAGCATTTCAGTTTGGTTTAATAATTGGAACCCAGCTGGTCCTTTATGCAATTTAATCTCAAAGAGGGATATGTACCAGTCTGGGCTTTCTATCACAGTAAAAGACCTATGGGATGAGGAGGTTTGGGAGCGACCTTTATCTGTTGGAGAAGTTTGGAAGTATTCTTGGTAATTTTAGACCAAGACTGAGGGATAATAACTCTGATGTGATCAGATGGAAGGATAAATATGGCTGTTTATTGGATTTTGGGGCGGATTTTGTAATATTCGGGTTTCAAGTTTTGATTTAAGATTTTCTTTAACATATATATATATATATATATATATATATATGCTTATATGAATAAATTGAGAATTAATTTTAAAAAGAAAAAGGGGGGAGAGGTCGGCTGGTTGTGCCGCCCACCACCCCTCCTCAATACTATATATATGGAAAGTGGAGTGGATGAAAGTTTTGGACACACACACACACTATATTTAGAAAGTTTTCTTTGAGAATCAGACAGATTGCAAGAAGAGAATTCAAAAGCCTGGATATTTGATTTCAAAAGGTGAGTGTATTAAAGCTTTGGATATAAATTGTTTACATACAATCTAGTAGTATTTGAAACTGGTTATTATGAATTCTGTTTCATTTTATGAGGATTCTTATTTAAACCGTTCAAGTGGTGTCCGGGTTAATATCCGGACAATCTCATCCGGATAGAAAACCGCTCAAGAGGTGACCGGTTTATTTTAAACCGCTCAAGTGTTGTCCGGAGTCCTCCCTAAACCGGTCAAGAGGTGACCGGATCTCGTCTAAACCGTTCAAGAGTTTAGCGGTGTATTGACCGGATTGTTTTAAACCGGTCAAAGGTTGGACAATGTATTGTCCATATTACTTTAAACCGGTTAAGTTGTGAACGGGGTATTGTCCGGACTTGTAATCCGGACAAAGATATTGACTAAATTCCAAGTGTTTGCTAAAATTCTATATCCGGACAAGGTTGACCGGACTTCAAATCCGGTTAATGTGTTGAAATATTTTTGAAGTGTTTTAGAAAAGATGAAATGGCGGTGTAACCGCGAGAGAGATGAAATGGCGGTGTAACCGCAAGAGAGATGAAATGGCGGTGTAACCGCGAGAGAGATG